AAAGAGTGCCAACAACATTGTGGGCTCTATTAGCAAGACTGTATTCAGCAGGTTGATGGAAGCAATTGTTTCCCTCTATTTGGCATGTGTGAGACTACAGCTGAGCTCAAGACTGCAGCTAGAGCACCGAGTTGAATTTTGATTTCCCCAGTGCAGGAAAGATAGGGACATACTGGAGCAAGTCCAGCTCTTGACTTGCAGTCAAGGCTGCCATCAGCGTTCACAACCCAAACTAGTCCATCTCTGTTAGTCAGACTCAAGTAATTCAGTTCCACACACAATTAACCAAGTGAAGCACAGCAGTCCATGCTACACAGACTAGGTAAAATGACCTAGTATTTTGTGAATATGAAAGAAAGAGAAGATGTAAAGGAGAACAGCGTTCAATCTTTCTTACCGAGAATGAGAATCGAAATGGAAAATTATTCATCATGAACCTGCCCTTTGGCGCACCAATGCAACAACATAATGCCTGAATGAAATACTTCAGAAAAAAAAAAAAAAAAAGATACTGAACATCTTTCAGGTTATTACTTGGAACCCCCTGCCTTCCTTAAATGTTTATTTGCATTGGTGTGGCAGCAAAAGTGAGTGTCGATGAGCTGGAGGAGAGAGCTGAAGTGCGAGGAGCTCCGACTTCAGTGAGATACAATTCCCTGCCTGCTCATCACATTAACAATAACAAAAGAATAGCTTGTGCTTAAGGACACTTCCCAAGTTCATTTACATGCATTAAAGCCTTATTTAAAGATTTGTATCCTGGGATCTGATGAAAACGTTGAGGACATTATACTAAAATATACTTTATTAAACACAAAATACTTTCCCTCTGTCATCAATAAACATATTAACAGGATTTATACAGATACATGTACATTTTTATAAACGTGCATATGTTCATATTTCTCAGCTCTATTTTTTACATTTGCATCATGCTGTAACATGTCCAAGTTTTTATAATGTAAAATTAGACAAAGCTCTAAAATTTTACTATAAAAGTTAAACACAGTTTTATCAACTATTTTCCCATGTCTACAAACCTTCAGCATCTTTTTCTAATTGAAAAGTTGTGAATTTATGTGAGCGCCGTGTATATCACTCCTCTGAAAGATGTCAGCAGTATCTTCCCACTTCTGTCAAAAATTTTTCATCCAATCATCTTGAGGCTTAAATCCAGTAAGGTTACTGTATTAAGTTTAGTCACAGGCACATGACAAACCTTTTTCTAGCTCTGTCACTACCCCTACCACACTTTTCATCTGCACCCCTCAACTCTAGGCATGTCAGCACAGGGACTTACCTTACTTGCTCTAACCTCACACTGCAAAAATACAGATCCAGAGGATTTGTTTCTGACAGGCTGCATGCTTTGCCTCAGACTCTCCTGATCTGACCATGATAGCTGCACAGCACTCTCTGCTGTCTGCCACACATTTCATCGTCCCATGATACTATAGCTATGAATTCACTAAACCTGAATTCAAGGCTCCAAGTACTAGAAGCCTAGATGACCAATGATGCACATCACTGCTTTAGCCCAAATTTGTTTGGAAATTTTTCCATAAAATTTAGGTGGGACAATTTTGAGTTGGTAGTTCTGTTGCATTCTGCCCATGCCGCAATGCTGCTACCTCTCCTGCTGCTATCTGTAATTTTACTCTACCTCCTCAGTTGCCCACTGAAGGTGCCCTAGCTGGGCATCTTCTCCACTTCTTCAAAGTTTCTGTCTGCAGGGGATTCTTTCTCTTTGGATGTCAATACAGTCATTGTGATACCACTACTGCTGAAAAAAAATGCCCAACCTGCCACAAGGTAACAGCCAGAGCCAGACCCAAGGTTTATGAAAGCTCCATATTCACTTAATATCTGTGCTATAGCCTGGTTTAAGCCAGATAAAAACCTGGATTTCCTGGATTTCTACAAAAAAGCTCATGTGCAGGATTCCCTGACTGGGAACTTCTGTGGTAATGCAATGCACTGGAATGCTGCAGTGCAGGAACCTCAGCATGGGTACTACTATGAAGAGCCTACAAGAAAAAACACCAATGGCCTAGAACACAGCCAGAATCCAGGGGCTCTACAAGAGCAGACTGCAGGTGTTGGGGTGCTTCTGAGAGCTCCAGCCTCTCTCCTGCCCTCTCCCCTTCTTGATTAATCTCCTGCTCCCAGATGAAAAAAGAAGAGCTGCTTAGCACGAACCTGTATGAATGCTGCCATACCCAGAAGTTCAGCATCTAAGTGAGGTATTGGCACAAATCTGAGTCTCACAGAAGGGGCAAAAAGGTCACTATTTTCATTAAAGTCCACTGGATGACACCAAGTGTGCATTACCTGCAGACTGTATATAATCAAAGGGTGGGTGTCTACTTGGTCTGGCTGAGGCGGAATTGGTTTTCCCCTATAGCAGCCTCATGGTTCTGTGCTTTATGCTGGGAGCTGGCAGGGTGTTGATAGCACCCAGGTGTTGTGGCTACTGCTGAGCAGGGCTTACACAGCACCAAGGCTCTTTCCAACATTTCCCCCCACAGTGGGAGGGGTCACAAGGACAGCTGACCCAAACTGACCAAAGGGATATTCCAGACCATATGACATCTGCTCAAGTATAAACCTGGGAAAAAGGAAGACAGGGGGTGGTGGTGTCACCCTTGGTCCTCCAAGGCAACCACTACATGTATTGGAGCCCTGCTTCCTGAGAAGGCCCGACATTGCCCGTTCATGGGAAGTAGAAAATAAGTGTGTTTATCTGTTTTCTTTTTGCTTCCGCGACCTTTGCTTCACTTTGCTTATATTAAAACTACTTTTGTTTTACCCATACGAGGCTGCTTTTTTTCCTATCTTACTTTCTTTCCCCCTTTTGCCCTGTTGAAAAAAAGGGGGAAGGGGGGGAAGTGACAGAGCGACTTGGTGGGTACCTGACATTTAGGCAAGGTCAAACCACCACACTGTCATAAAGGTCCCTAGTTTCTCTAGACTCTTTGGTGGAACAAAAACTTCCAGCCACAACATTTCTGGGTGAGTGGCCCAGTGACAGAAGGCTAGAAGCAAAGAAAAGAATAAAAGCCAGGTCCTGTACAGTTGTCTTTTGAGGAAGAAACAGAATTTAAAGCAAGAGGCAGGATCAGTGGAGATGTGCTCAAACATGTCAGTACACAATAGGGCTACCATGAACAAGGTACATGAAAGGCAACTAGAAACTGAGACATGTAATGTGAAATACCAGACAACATACTCAAACCTGATCCTGCAATAAAAATACTTCATAATATACAAGCTGTATCAAATCTGCAACCATTCCTCACAATGGATCAAATCTGACCTGTCAGATGATTCGGTGGTACACAAATCCAGCACCACAACTACTAGTGAAACCTCACCATTATTCTCAAGATTAGAAAATAATTCTTGACTGCTGTCAACAGATCATATGCAACAAAAATATTGTACATTTTAAAAGCCCTTCTCTACACTTATTAATAGAAATTAGGTTAATTATGGTAATTACACCACTATCTACTGGTTCTAACAAATTTATCTTTTCTTTCTAGCATCTGCTTATGCCTGTCATAAACTCTGCAAAAGGTCTGAATTAGGTCAAAACAAATGTCTATAAATTTTCACTGGCTCTCATAAAATGTAAAAAAACAGGCAAGAAACATCAGGAAACAAAACAAATTATTCTGTTTGCTGGTCTTGTGGTTTTTCTTTCCTGAGGAGATGCTCCAGTGTTACATGAAATGCAGAATTCAAGAGTATCTCAGTGATTTATGAACAGCGCAGGACTCAAGTGAAAAAGGCAAGTCTACTTCTCACACATTTCTTTGACTTCCCAAAGGGGCTGTCAGTCTAAATAGGAGCAAGATTCTCAATTCAGAAAATACATCTATAATTTAAAGACTAAGTTTTTTTACTTCTTGGTTGGTGATGTTGTTTTTGCGGGTTTTTTTTTTTTTTTAAGTATACATACTTTAGGAGCAAGTCTGATCTGTAGTGATTATAAAAATTCAAATAAGGAAATACAAACATAAGTAACAGCTTGAGTTTAGAGAGCACGCAAATGAGATTTGAAGATCTCTAAAGATACACAGTCTTGCCATTGTTTCCAAAATAGCAAGACAAGAGCCATGAAAAAACAGAATAAATTTTAATCATGTACCTCAGCAACTAGCTCATTAGCAATGATGAAAACAGGTTTGGGAAGGATTTACTTGATCACGTAAAAAACATCACAGAAGCCTTTAAATTAAGCTCCCAAAAAATAATTTTCAGTGTCTAAACTTGCCTCATAGGAGTACCGCTGTTCTGACCTTGCAGTTTTTATGTAAGATTTTACGTGAACTGAAAAACATGCCTCTAAAAACAGTTTCCTGTAGGAAGCAGGAAATCTAAGGAATGTATATGAAGACCTGAAATGGAATGAACAGCTACAGTCTTACTTAGTCCTGGATCATTTTACACTATATGGATTCTAGTCTCTTTTGTACCATCACATGGCTGGTTTTGGCCCCATGAAATCTTCTTTCTGCCTGACACAGTTTTAATTTAAAAGCTGTTTTTATATTTAATAACGTAACATAATCTAAGAATTATATGTTCCCTCTAGCTTGCCTCTTCATGTACAAAAATGAAGTCCCCCTACTATACTGCTTAGCCTTTTGTCTTCTTCCTATCACCACAAGAGAGCCAACATCTCCCTGCCCATCATCCCCTCACCCAAAGCATTTCTTCCAGACTTAACTCCCCAGCAGTGTGGCCTATTAACTTAAAAGCAACCATTCTGCTACTTATTGGGTGAAAAAAAATGCGAGAGTCCAGCCTTAGGTATCCTGAACATACACTTTCACCAAAAAGGAACAAAGTAACACAGGATTCAGCAAAACTAAGTTAAAGGAGGAATTACAAAAATTAGTACATATTCTAAAGCAGTGGAAAGGGACAACCAATCTATTTAAAGTGCAGAGATCAAATAAACCAAAAAGAAAGGATGCAACATCTATAATGCATTCAGTGAAAATCAGCTGTTCTTGAAATAACGATGAGCTATTGTCAGAACGTGGATCATCTTTTCTCACAGAAGGCAACAGACTGCTCAGTAATTCCTTGAATATGTGACTTTGCCAGGTGGACTCCAGGGAGAAAGCACTTCATTCCCATGGACAGCCTGCAAATTCTTTTTCTTCTTCTCAAGCTGCTCTCTCCTCTCTTTCTTTTCCTGAGAATAAAAAGATGTGTCATAAAAACCCAAACCACACCCCCCCCCAAAAAAACCCAAACAACCTCTCACAAAACCCCCAACTCTACCAACAGAAAAATTACAATTATTATTATACCTTTCTCATGTAAAATGGAAAGTTAACATGCAATGGCGATTAGCCTTTCAGAGCTTAGTGCATACCTTTTAGGGATTCAGGCACACACACTGCACAATGCAACCCAAGCGGCTGCACATTTGATGTGATTTACGATTACAGTGACTGTCTCAAGGATGGGCTGGTTTTGTGCGTTATCTAAACGAAAAGCCCAACAAAAGGTCTAGTGGATTAGGTACTGTATTTGTCTTGTATATAATCAGCCTCATCTTAATTACTTCTTTGCTTTAAGAGGGTACCTAAATCACAATGCTAAATACGTTGTTCTCATTATATGAGAACATTGATGCATCTTTGTAACTTTCTGTACTTATTAAATCACACTTGCCCTGTATTGGAACAAACTGGGAATTAAACAATTTAATTATAAACAAATATCTAACATTATAAGCACTGCAAGGTTCTGATGATATTTTCCATTGTTTCAAACAGCAATGGGTGGTTAGGATGATTATGAATAAGGAAGATGCTTGCAATATTCTTTTTGTGCCTGGTTAACTGATGATTTTCAAGAGACCTGTCATTCAAAAAATAATTTCCAATTATTTATAATTATTTTTAAATTCTGGTCTATATAAAATAAACCTTCTTTGCAAAGATGACTGCCATTTCACTATGTGAGGACCAGCATGTAAGGGTGCATCTGCATGAGCAATTTAGTACACTGGAGAGTTCTTTATTGGTGCAAATTTTCCTTGTATCATCCCTGCTCGAGCACACCACTTACCGACTTAACGTAGTTTTCTCTCTTGGAGAAGCCTAGTTTGACATTATGGACCAGAGCATAACTTACAAAGCCCCACCTGACAGGTGGGTAAAAGGTGGCTGAGCAGCTGACTTTCTGGCACATAAACAGTGCCCTCACTCCTAGGACCAACAGCTGGCGTACACATCACTGGTAGTAAAGCAGCAATGCGGATATGCAGGCTTAAAACCACCATCAAGGTGGGTACAAGCATTATTGTAGAAAAGGGAGCTTGAGCGGAAATTTTCTTGTTTCCCACGTATGCAGCAGTAAAACTGTACTCATGCAGCTATACATATGATATGTATAATTTTAAAAATCATAACATGCACTAAAACATCAACCATATCAATATGACTTTAATCTGTGCCATTTAGGTCTTTGCTAACATAAATCTGAAGATCCAATTCAGTTAGGAATGCCTGGTCTGACTAAATAAACACACAATTATTTCATGTTATATTACTAGTACACTGATTAAAAGCAAGGCAAGGTTTGCATGGGGAAGTAATGCCCTTTACTAAAACAAGTGATATAAAAGTTCATCATAGTTAGTCTAATAAAAAACCCATTATCTATCTGTACAAAATGTATCTTTCTGAATTATATCAAGCATCTAAGACAAACTGGGCTTGTAGCACTGTAAGATTCTGGCTCATCTGTGTCATTTTACACTTTAGCTTTCTTTCTCCTTCCATAACAATCTTCCTTGGATGAACACAACTGGTGGCTTTGGGTTTTTAGAACAAGTTCAAGATACTTTTTTCAGGAATTCTTAAAGTGACCTGGTTAGTATCCTAAGGGGAAAGGAGTCTGCATTATCAGTGATATTTTTCAAAAAAGACAAGATATGTGCAAGAAGACAGATGAGCTTCGGAAGAATGTGATCTACAGTGGAACACATGTATGATTCATGTTGCTGTTTTGGAGTATTTGGACACATCTAGACAATTTATTTTTACAAAAATCAATCACATTCTAGAAATCTTAGAATCTGAATCTGTATTTGACAGTCAAAGACACATCAGGGCAGGTAACTGAAAACTCTTTAAAAATAGAGGACTTATTGTAGTAGTATTGGCAATTATTGGAGAAAACGTGTTACAAAGAAAAGTATGCATTTTATGTTTTTTAAAGTACTCTTCACTGAGTACATGTTACACAACAGACTCATGTATGAAAAACCCAAACCAAAAGATAAAGCATACACTGACCCAGGCAGGGAACTAAAGTTGCTCTGGATTTTTTAATCATGTCTCAGCTTTGAATGTTTGGGTTTGAAGATTTAATTTTCATGAATGAATCCCAGTGGCAAGGAAAGAGTCTTGAGTTAATTTAACTGGTTTTCAAAAGAATAAATTTGACATGAAGAATTACTGGCTTCTTCCCTGCCTTCAACACATAGAAAGCTTTTTATGTTCTTGTCCTAACCACAGTCCACATTCTCACAAGACATAACTGATATAAATCTTCCCTAAAATAATAAACAAGATGTTATTTGCACTAAAAGGGGAAAAGTAACAGAAACAGTGAAAGATTAAAGCAATAACTGTAGCTTGTCATACACTAGATCAACTCGACTGTACGGCTTGATTTCTCTGTGGAACTTTCCTACTCAATAGCCTAGTAAGGTGAATACATTTTTCACTTATAAATTCTGCAAGATCACATTCTTTAGCAGTATGACTGCTATATAATAATTGAATTTTAGATAGTACAGAAGCCTTACAACATTTAAGAGGAATAGCAGTAACAGCCTTATTTCTAAACATATTGCAATTTCAGGAGATTAAAATTCCAATATAGAAAGTATTTTCAGATGGATCTTATTAAACCACATGAATAACCCATGTCAGCTGTTTCTAACCCAGAAAAGCAAGAAAACCATGAGACTCATCCAGTACATCATTTACTGATATTTTTAAACAGCTTTAGAATGCCAAAAAGATATGTTGAGCATGCTCAACCTCAAGGTAAAATTCTTCTAGGGCATTTAACCTTACTATACTGATGCTCAAGAATTATCTACGAGCAGCCTTACTTGTCTTCAACTCATACTAGGTTAATGTTTACCACATAAAATGGAGAACATATGTAGGATACTCGCTTTTCTCTAGAGAAAACAGGTATCAAGATTTCTAGCTCAAAAATAATGGAAACTACACTGATCTGTCGTGATGAACTTTCTACATGATTCTTCTCCAAGTTCTACTCCTCAGAATAGGTGCACGTCAATGACAAGCATCAGACACTGGTAGTACGTATTAAAGTATAAAATGGTAATTTATCAAGCACATCATTTAGACTGGCTTTAAGAGTACTTACTGAGTAGCAAGAGGCAAATACTATGAAAGAAACAAAAAACTCAGAAGCTTAAGTTTCCTTAGCAATAGTAAAGTTCCTCATCTGAAGATTATCCTTTTTATGTTAGTATTTCACAAGTGTGAATAGCCTTTTTCAGGGTATTTATTTTAATGCTTAAAAAGTAAATCTTTTCTATGCACTTATGTTACCAAACATTCACACAATGATCTCTAAAAGTATAAGGAACAGAATTCCCATTAACATAAAAGCAGAATGTTTCTTATATTTTAGAAGTACAAAGGAGATTTTTATGTCTGTTTTACCCATGCATTATAGTCAACACCTGGTTCAGGAAAGCTGAGGATGAATTTACACATTTATTTCTGGTGAATGTTAAAAGATATTAGAGTATCTCCCATTATGTTACTCTTATTTCCCTTCATTTAAAGATCCTCTTATTTGAAATTATATGGTTCAGAGACTTCCACAATTCTGCTCTCTCAGATTTGATCCCTGTTTATCTACCTGTAGGCAGATATCATTTTAGTTCCCTTGATAATAAATTGACAGATTTACTGGTGTTTCTCTCCTGCAGTTCATTGAAAGTGTGTATTTTCTCTATTACTACACAAAGCCAGATAATATTTGGGCCAAACATGATGACAGAGCCATTGCCCAATACACCTTCTCAAATAAAGGTATGTCAGCTGCAAAAACCAGAACAGTTTCAGAAAGTGTGAAGAGTGGGCATGAGACACATCAGTCAACAGCTGCAGACAGACACTGAAAATGAGATAATTTTAGAGGTATCTGTGCCAACCAATGCAGAACCTATCACATCTTCCAACACCTGTTTATTTTTCAAATTGTACATGCTCCTCTCGGGTAGCCACATGTACATCCATTTAGGTCTGGTCATTCCTCCAACTACTGAAATCTGTATCGATAAACCCACTGAAGTAAAGGGATGACCTCAGGAATTTGAACAGGAGAGTCCGTGTAAAGCAGCAGATTTCATTTACAAAAAAAGGGATAATTTTTTGCCTTCCTACAGAGTCCAAGGGCAAAGAAGTTAAACGTACAGTAAGAGGTAGCATGCATGCTTTGGTACAACTATGTTAATTGAGGACAGCCTCAGTAAGCAAGCCATACCAAGACAGAGTGTTAGCTACTACTCAAAGTATAGTACTTCCTTCCTTGGGAACCAGGAATATCAACTAAGCAAGAAATAGTGTAAGATAAGACATTAATTGCTTGACAAAACTGAACTGGATATCACTTGATAAAGGGGACCAGAGAAAACAGTTCTTACTAATGATTACACAAATCAGAGGTATTTCAACAGGAGATCAGGTCAGAGAAAAAAGACTTAAGCCTAAAACTAAAAAGGTTTGAAAACAGAGAAGGGAAAACATGCAGGCTCTTGCCTAACTGCATATTTTTGAGTTAGGCAAGTAAAGGATTATTGTCCTTGTAAGATCTGTCTCACACCCATATATCTGCCTGCCTCAGTTCTTATCTATCCCTTTCCCACCAAAAAACAAACAAACAAAAAATCAAACCAAAACAGAAAACCCACTTGATACTCTGGAAAAGACTTTAAGCTATTGACAGTACAAATGAATCTCTGTAAGGACGTTAGGCCAGTTGAGTTGCAAGATCCAATTCTTACAAATGGCAACAGAGACTGTATGTACAGGATGCATGCCGGAAATCACAAGGAAGAGAAACAATAGAAGAAACAAACACTCTCAGACTAAGGAAACTGTGAAAGACAGTATGATGAATGGGTCACAGGGTGAGGATGAAAAATGTAGGTTCTTCTTTAAGTAGCAAGTCACATGTCTTTAAGAAAACAATGTATGCTAAGAATATTAGTGATCTCTTCTCATTTGTCTTTCCTGTAGCAAGGAAAAAACCCAACCATGCCTTATTGTAGGGACTAGAATACTAGATTAGTTTACTGCTTAACAACTGTGAACAAAGTACACTGTTGTAGGAAAAATATAATTGGGAGCATGAGAGTTCCACCCTTTCTCGTAAATGGAGATAATCTCAAACCTCATTACAAGTGCTTTTATCAATTTTAAGGTATGCAAGTCTCCACTTTAAATACTCCTTGAATGTATACGCACTCACTGCTGCAGCTGCTGATGCTGCCTGGCTTTGCAGGTTTTGTGAGAGCCTTTCAGAGATGGCTGCTCCTGACATGCACTGTCAAAAAATGAAGACTAACTATGAAATTCAAAACTCTATGACATGTAGGTAGGGAGAATACATTTTCCATGTATGCTAAATATCAAGCCCACCATATTTTATTATCAATTTGCTCAAGAATTTTGGGGGACTAGCTATGTAATGCTGCCATCATCTGGCCTCTCTCATAACAGCATGAAAACCCATGAGTATTATAATACAAAAGTTTACACACTCATTACTAATCTTTTTGGTTTTGACAAAGTGAAAAAAAAAAAAAGAAATACCAGCCATCTTTCATATTCCTCCATAGCCTTTTTACTTTTTTCTTCCTTCTTTGCCTGTTGTATTTCTTGGTTTCTTCTCTCTACAGTTTTTTCTATTTTCTTCTGTTTTATATATTCTTCCTTCCTTTCATTCCTGTGTAGTGAAAAGGAGATCATCATGTAACAGACTAATGCTGCATCTGTGACTAATAACTAAATTGGGTGAAAAGAGATATTCACGTTTAATAAAAGATCAAGAATACATTATTTAAAAATCTTTGAAGTCCACCTGTAATGAATGTATAAATGAACCTACTATTCTATTACAGCATCACCTTTTCTGTACTACTTTCCTCTTCATTTGGTATCATATAAAAAATAAGATTCAAAGTTTCTGTGGGTAATAGTAAGTTGCACATGGTCTGTGAGAACTCTTGGCTTGTAAAACTAAGAAACAATTTCTCCAGCAGACATGTCATTTGCTTCTGACTACATCTACATTCATACATTGTATTCCACAAAACTTTTAAGATAAAGACTTACCTTCCTTCCTACGGCTTAGTAATGAAGCATGAGACATTATACTACTCATTGAACCTGACTTTGTCAGTTGCAGTATCTCTGCAGTAGCCTTTTGAGAGGGAAGGCATATAAGTCACTAAACTGAAAGAAGCTCTATAGCTTGTTCTCATGGTTATACTTGTTCTCCATCAGGACTGAAGCACCTGATCCCAAGCACGCCATCGTGTCCCATTTAAAAGCACATCAAGCACTCACAGATCTATTGCATTTGTAAGCAAAGATTTGGGAAACTATGATATTCCAAAACCCAGTGGGGCAGTACCATTTTTCAACTGCTGACATGCTTTCTCTCTTCTTCTCTGCAACCAGTTCCTCTTCTTTTTTCTTCCTAATTCTTTCAGACTGTTTTTCCTTTCTGCTTTGTTCTCTTAAATATTCCACTTTTCTTTCTTTCCATTTTTCGAATGCCTAAAGAAAAGCACAGATTCATTAGAAATGTTACCCCTCACCTTCTTGTCAATATTCTGCTTGCTTATTATTTTTTATCATTTCTACATGTTCAAATTTTAGAATATTTGTTTGTGGCATACCTCAGAAGTGCATATCACTATACCTAAAAAGAATTATATTCTTTTTCCCAGTAAGTAACAGTTCATTGCCAATATATTTATATGGAGTTTATTTTACATTCAGTTAACAGAATCCAAATACAGAAAAATGCCTGTTGTGTGCAAATGTAAACATTAGATACTTCCAACAGAACAGAATCTAATATGAGCTTTCTTCAAAAGTTAACCACGTTCAGATTTTAGAATCTAATTCATTCCCACCTTTTGCTGGATTAATCAAAATTATTCTCAACAATTTCTCGAATCACATCCAATATGCATTTATGTACATATTTCCAATCACACCTTCTGTGCTGCTTCTGCTTTTTCCTCATTCTGTTCTGCTGCTTTCTTTCTCTTAAGTTCCTCAAGCTTCTTTTTTTCACTTAACTTCTTTGCTTCTCTTCCTTTCTTTTTTTTCCAGGCTTCAAAAGATGCAATTGCTTCCTCTCTTTTAACAGCTTCTTTCTAGATTGAAAATAACAGTCTACATTTAAATATACTGAAATATAAAACTATAACTGAAATAGTATGCTTTAAACGCACTATCAAATGTAGGATTAAATGGAGCAATAAAGAAATGGAAATTGATTTGCACACAACATGCCAAGTAATACTCAAAATTAAATTTGAACTACATAGAGCATTTCTTCCCTATATTCATTTTTAATTTAACTTAATCAAATTAGACATACTACTCTTGCAAAATATGTTTAGGAGAATATGAAATACATGTTAAATGCCTAGAAGCAAAATATATTAAATGCTTAAAAGCCAAATTTAAGAATTGTATATGGTACTATTTAAAATACCGTCCTCTGTAGATAAGCATCTCTTGAGGTAGGGAACAAACTCATTTTCTAACAGATGACAAATTAAAATTTAATACCTGATGGGTTGAGCATCTCAAGGTCTTTTTAAAGAAAGATGAAATTTAATCTAAGAAGCACACTTTTAACATACCTTATATAAATATGGATGGAAGCATCAACCACCCCCCTTTTGCAGCAAGCATAACAAGTGGGACATGCCCTTTACTGTTTCAACTCACTGTATGCTATTTAGAGAAAAACAGATGCCTTAAAACAGCAGAGCGATGTAATTAGGTAGAAAGCACAGGTAAGCATACTTCAAAGAATTACAGTTTGTCAACTTCTTTTTAAACAAGAACATAAACAAACCTCTTCGGCATTGTTCCTTAGATTTTCAGCTTTCTTCTTTTCAGTTCTCTTTAATTCCAGTAGAAAGACCCTTTTCTTTTCCAACCAATTCTGCAAGAATCATTAGGAGACTTTTATACTTTTAAAGTCTTTTTAAGGTGTAACTAAAATATTCTGTAAAAACAACCAAAATGACCACCAAAATTACTCTTAATTCTTCATGTGCTACTTAAATTATCCCATGTGGAAGACTAAGCTGTGATCACGCAAACACTGTGATCAAAAAAGTCTAAGGTTCAGAAGTCATAGCTACAAAATATAAAAAAGCTTAAGGATCTTTAACAAAAATATTCAAAAAAACACCAAAAATGTAAGCATTAGAAAGAAATGAAGAAGAGAAATGGAATAAAGATTGTTATCACTGGGTATATAGGAATATTATTTACATTTATTGTCTCTCTTGCAAATACCTATAATTCAAGAGAATAAAATCCAACTAGGAAGAGTGAGACAAAGTGTTATGAGCCATTTGCAGAATAAGACTTAAATTTTCAAGATTTAACTATATATTTGGTATGCTACTTAGAGATAGAAGTGTCCTAAATGAAGCCTATTTTACCTTTAACAATTATGGAGACAATATAAATATGAATTTGAGGTTCTAAATTTTGTTCCAGAACCATAACAAGTATTAAAACCACCTACCAATATGAACAGCATCTGTTAATTAAAGTTCTCATACAAATTAGTAGCAAAAATCTATGGGAACCCACAGGCTAATTGTTGTGAAATTCTACACAGAATCCAAATAGATTATCCTTCTGGAGAGAATACTAGACTTGCTTCCACTCTTCCTGAATGTTGACTGAATAGAATGTATTAGGAAAATAAACTTTACAAATTTACTTATGTTAAGGAAGAAGTAGAAATAAAGGAAAATATTCTATTTGCCTGCAAACTGTTTGACACAAATTATGAACCATGGCACGCCCCTCTCATCTAGCTTTTTAGTTTGTAATTTGATGAAAAAGTGTAGCCAACAGAATAAAAGGATTATTACACCTCTAAGCATATGCAAGGAATATACTCAGGAATACCGATTTCAAAAAAATAAGATGTTGACTCCTGTAACAGGACCTTTATATACATAGTTTTGTTTGTTCATCGTTTTGTTCATTTTTGGGTTTTTTTTTTTTTAAGATCTACCTGGTAAACAGCTGCTCGTAAACTATCTGCTTTGTCAAATTCTGTACCGTTCTTCTGCGTGCGTTTATTTTCCAACACCTTTAATGATCCCAGATATTGAGATGATACAGGTGTACCTGGTGGAACAGCTTCTGCCTTTTTCTTTAAGTGCACAGAAGACAGAGATCTATAAAAATACCAAGACACAAACATATCAACGATCTTTCCGTCTATTGTAGCTGGTATCAAGTAGTGTTCCTTTTATTTCTGTGTATACCAAAAGTTATGTGATTCTGTTTTTACATGCACTTGGCTGAGGACAGGGGAAAAGGAAAGGAGGAAGAAGCCTGTTTTCTTCTGAGGGCTTCATTATTGTCAAAACAAGGCACTACTCAACATATCCAGCACAAGAAAGTTTACAAATTCCTTACACTTTCATCTACAAAGCAGCTTAAGTCCTATAATGACATTATGGACTGGATTCACTTGTGGATCCAGTAGCACGCACTCATCACAGACACTGGCAAAAGACTTGGACGTCGGATCTGATCTAACCCTGAATAAGGGTTATAATAATATGCCACATCTATTAAACTGTTTTCCACAGATGGACAGAGGTTGTCAGCAGTAAAGACAATGCTGACAGAAAACAAGAGTGAAGCAGCACTGTTACAGCACTTACATGCACCTTACACTTTGCAGACTGTGATACGCAGTGTCTTTCTCTTACCTGTCAGATAAAGAAGCTTTTGGGTTTTGTAGAACTCTCTCCTTTGTTTCACTTAGTTTCTAAGAAACACAGAAGAAAAATAAAATTCTAGAGTCTCTCAAGCAACAGGACTAGATAAGGATGAAACATTTTTACAAACTAACAAGGATGTTAGGAATTGGACTTGATGATCTTTATGGGTCCCTTCTAACTTGAGATGTTCTGTGATTCTGTGGTGTCAGAAAAATATGCAAGAAAGCCACTAATATAGAAAGGGTACAGTACAGGGTAAGAAAGTTTAAAAAACCCCAAAAAAACAAAAAAACAACCAACCAAACTTTCAGAATGTACCTTTTTGGAACAGCACCTAGAAATGTATCTTTATATTATGTAAAAATATAGTCCATAGTTTAGAAATACAAAGGAATAAAAAGAACCCAGCCATGTTATTATACCAGTACACTTTTAACTGTTCTTAATATTTAGCGTTAACAATTACATATATCTATGTATTTTCTTTCTTGCGATAAAGCTTAGTGCTTTGTATCTTATCCATTACTGAAGTCACACCATGGATTCCATCCTCTGCCAACATACACTGCTCACTGCAATTCAGTTAACTTCACAGCAGAGATCTGACATTTTCACTTGGATGAGGGTATTTGTTTAAGACTGGAAAACACACATTTCAATACCTTTATCTGGTTTATTTAAAAATTATTTGTGTAAAGTCTTCCATAAAGCTGGACAGAATTTCTAAGAGCCTCAGTTCTAGAAGCCAGGGGTAAATTGTCAGCTTTACAGAGTTCTATACATTTAAGGTACCAACAGCAACTTCATAATACTTTTCACTGTACTTCTAGGTCATTGTTCCAACAAATGGTAAAAATGCATAATACCTTGACAGAGTCTTTTGAAGTGTTCTTTGCCTCCCCACACTCAGACGGATCATTCACTGACACCTCCCGTATTGTATCAGTTACTATTTTCCCCTCCACTATTTTCAATGTTTCATCTGAACTGTCAACTGGTGACTTTTCTAATTTCTTTGTTTTCTCATATACTGTGGTCATCGTTACTTCTGTCACAGAAGGGGATTTTCTATTATTGTCCTCCAGTTTCAAGTCACTGGTGCTGATCATCTCATCTTGATCTAACAGGAGAAAAAAGATTGAGTGGACAATTTCATTGTTTCATTGTTTCTGAACATTGTTATTTCTGTACGGAAAACACCTGTTTATGAAACATATTATTAAATTTGATATAATGTATTTTCTGTGTACTTTAAGATCTATATGGACTAATGAGAAGAATAGTCACTTGTATTTAAATTTAAGACTGGAGTAGGAACTGAAGTTTTAACTAATGTTATGGAATGTGAGATCATGATAAAGGCAAAACTTCCCATCCGCCCTACCACCCAAACATGGTTCTAGTGCGGAAATGAAAAGCAAGAGCCACTGCAATCACAGCAAGAGCTCTTCTGACATTTAGCAAACTAATAAAGTCTGTACAACAATTTGGGCAGCAAAAACCACTTTGTGTTTTTCAGGCATGTGGGACACACAAGAAAATAATGGAAAGATTCTGAGGTGGGGATTTAAACAAAACATCATCTCAATTTAAATGTATGCCTAAGTGGTGAAATTGTCATTTATGAAACACTTTATTAATAATACTTTAAAAATACTTTTATCAGATCTGAATAGCCATGAATGCAGAGATCTAAATTTGTAAAACAATTCAGACACAAACCAAAAAAGGTCACGGTAAATTCCAAACTACACTCTTCCACAATTTTCTGATGGAATTCTTAAAAGAAATATAAGTTGTGGATTAGAGATTAACTTCAAGTTACCTGAAGAAAGGAATATCAATGCTGATAATCTAAGACATTTAACCTAGATTTACAGAGATGAAGATAAATTCAAGGTGACAAGAATTATGAATTTATATGAACCATTTCCTATCCTCTGTGGATATGTAAACTTTCATATTTTACTTTACACTTACTAGTGAGTACAACTGTATATAAACTGTACAATTCTGATTAAGATGCAGCACACAGTGCACAGGACACTGGTGACAGCAGATTTACTGCTGACTGCAAGCACTTTGTTGCATGAACTTCACTGAACTTCATGCACAAGTCAGTTTGGCTCCATTTGCAAAATGGATACAAAATACTAACCCTCCCATGGTTAGCTGACAAATGCCACATAAAACCCAACATTATTATCATTGTCATTTCTTTCCTGAAAGTTCAAGCTATACAAGTTTAATTGGTCTGCTTGGAATTCTTATACTGCACATTTCAGCATCATATTTAAACAATCCAATTCCTTCTCCTCCACTTTCACTGAAGACTCTGTATCATTGTTGTTTCTAGGTACTCCTTTGTCCTGACAACACCACCTTTATTATTCTCTTCCTCTTATATTGTCCCTACACTTGGGAGAATTACCCATTCCAGTACACTGATGCTTATATCCTTTTCCCCACACAAACTCTCCTACGACATTATTTCATTAATGATGTTTATAGACATCAAACTATACCAAACAAATTTTCAAATCCAAGGTCTCAGCAAAATATAAAACAGAACTGCAATTAAACACAGATCTAAGCATATTTCTTATTTACTACTCAGTAAATTGCCTGTGTTTTCTACTTCTATTCACCTTTCTACACTAAATTATTCAAGCCAAGTCCTATGTTTTATCTCATTAGGCTGCAGTGTATAGACTTCTTGCTGCATCCCACAGTCTATGTTACCCATTACAGTCCTGCACAGAGCAAACTACCCCCCAGCATGATTCCCTTAGCAAATTAAAAAAAGGTGTCTAACAGCCTATTCCAGTGTTTTTTAATCTGGGGTCCATGGATGTTTTGTAACCAGTTGAAAAAGGAGACTATGAAAGATAAATTCAATAGATACTGCTGAGAAGCCCACATACTTGATATTTCTTAAAGGGTCTGCACATCTTCTAAGAACTGTTAGGCATCTACAAATCAAAAAAAAAAAAAAAAGGAAAAAAACATTACTTAGTTTGTATTAAACTTCGTAGAAAAGGTGCAGGAAGAAGTAAAAGGTTTACCCTAGTCATATTGACTGCAAAATGACTTGTTTTAAGTCCCAAAGATGCTTAGACAATGACGTAAGTCAAAGTACAAAAGTCAAATTTAACCCAAACTTTAATCCATTCCACTCCATTTCTGGGATACCTCTAGGGCCAAATTTCTCCATACTTGGGATAATACTGTATGTGGACATAACTGCAAGCATGAGGCTGGGCCATTCTCAAAACCAGAACAGAAGGGGACACTAAGGCATGACAAAAATACTGAGAGTAGAAAGGAAATTAAGAATGTCACTGATTTTAAGAGAACTTTTATTGGACCATTAGATACTACTAAGGTATAAATGATAACATTTATCTGAGTGTATGTATTTATGTTCTACCTTTTACAGGTGGTGCTTCTCCACATATCAGTAAATCGGAGTCTCCAGATCTTTCATTGTGGGAAGTAAAATTAATGGAAAATTGTGGTGAAGTACTTTCTAGCCATGAACCCTTAGATCAGAGAGTGACAAATAAACAAGTGAGCAATTTGTAACACATCAGTGTAATTTGACTTGATTTTATAACACTTTGACAGAATGTTTGTTCAGAATTCTCTACGAAAAGTGTAATTCTTGTTTTACATTTGGAGAAATAAAAATCAATCAGCATGTAAGGCTGCAAGCCATCACAAAAGAAGAAGAAATTATGTTCACTTATCTGGCCTTCATCATAAGAATACTACTGGCAAAGGCATTTTTTCCCCCACTCGTATTTTTGTCCTATTTTTCTTCCCAAAAATATTGCCATCTAAGTAAAAGTTCATTTAAAGTTTCCAATGTAGATGGTAAAAAAATAAATACATATCCTCTCTTATTTCAGGACCAGGGCTTTCATCAAGCAGTTTTTTCTTGGGCATAGCTTGGACATTCAGAGTAGTTAGGGATGATGGTGCTGAAAATGAAGAAAATCCATTTCTAGGAGCTATTGTTCCTTCTGACCTATTAAGCTCATTATTTTCCACAGGATCACTTTTTCTCAAAATACTTCTTGGATGAAGTGATCGTTTATAACAGCTATCTAACAAAGGAATGCTGATATTATCAGCTGAAAATAAACACTATCACTTCAGTTATGTCTAGTTCAAGACATTTTATCCTGGAACACTGTTTTGCCAAGATAGATTCAACTAAGTATTTTCAGTTAAATAGCTATTTAAATAATAGCATAGCTTTCTTAACACTGTGAGGTCATATACAAGCAGCTATATAAACAGTTACAGCCACTTTTACAGCAAGTAATGGAAGTTTTAAAGCTTCTAATATAATCTCTACGTAGACATTTTATTCACTTATTTTTTCCATTTATCATTGTCTCTGTATATATTGAAACTACACTCAAGGGCTTATCTGCAATTAGAGAGACAGAGTTTTCATAACTACAGAAAAGAGCATGTATGTAACACAGCACTGTCGTAAGAAAACCTTCTCACTATTCTGCTTGTCCAGTTCTCCACTAGCAAAGATACAAACGGGAAGACTGCCTCTCCCTGCCTCTCTGCCCAGTGCAGAACAGAACAAGGCTGGGTAGGAGGACACATCATGTGAAATGCAATCAAAGGGGAGGCCTTTCAGTGTATTTTCTAGCCTCTTCAGTGATGTCTCTGTTCTCTCCCTAAGGCAGTCACTGGGCAGCAGAACCACCATGTAACTTACAGATTTCCATCCTCTGGCTCTTCACCTTCCTCCTGCCTAGTAATCCTATCTTCTTCATCTTTCCTTCCCCCTGCCCTGCCACCAACAAGATCAAGATATACAATGGCTTTCTACCTGCTGCCTTTTTAGGTATGTTGATCCACACAGGAATGCTTATCTAATTCTGCACATTAGCATGAAAGCATTTCTTATTATGTTCTAGTTCACACAAATCTGTCAAGGAAATGGGAGAATCACCACGCCTATCCAGCACACTCAGCTGCCTAAAGTCTAATTATACAGTTACTGTGACATTTAGAGACCTAAGAGGTCACAACGATATCCCTACAGGTGCACTGACAGTTTATCCATGCACTAAATCACAAGAGAAATCAAAGGAGCAGAAAACACTGATTAGTCTCTGGATATTCACCTCCTCTGTTGGATAGAGATCAATTTATTTAAAATAAGAAAACTTACAATGGTTGACTAGACAATATGCTAGCATCACCATATTACTTAGATTCACATGAAGAAAAGGAGCACTTCAACTTTTTTCTGCCACTCTCAAAATCCACAGGCATACTGGTCAGGAAAGAGGCATCTGCAATGCCCAGCGGCACAAGCAAATATCTGGCACTTTGGTGCCATCATGTGGCAAGAAGAAAAGGAGCTGTTATCACTAATCATGCTCTAGCAATTCAAAGTCGTAATCTTCCATCACGGCCATAAATTTCTCTCAACACCAAACAGGACAAATTATTGTCATATTATGAAGCACATAAAAAAATCTGAACTCTTTCGACATTTTAAATTTGTAAAAGCACATATAGTCAACTAGCAGAATTCCAGCTTACACTTTGCCTATTAAAAATGAATCAAACTGTTCTTACTAAAGTTCAGGTTTTTTCATATTTGACTATACGTCCAAACTGGCTCAGCATCTTCAAAGTAAAAGGTCATTTGAAATTTTAACTTTGCGATGGTGAGAAGTCTACCATTCATAAATGTTTTAGTTACAGCTCATTTTCTGACATTCTGCTACATTACAGCATCATGATGTCTCAGCATCAAGACCTCGACACTGTTTGTGAACACTGTGATCCAACTTCACTGGTCACAGAGATGGGATGACTGGTTGAGGACCTTCTCATTAAAGGGTGCAAGGATGCTGTGGACACTCTGTCATTATGGCTTTCTGCACTATGCACACATAGAGAAGGCAACTCTGTAGTCCTCCCACACCTTCCAGACATGCATTGACGGAGGGCTGAACTTTAGTTACCCAAAGAGCTGGTTTTTATCTCCTGAAAGGAAAAGGCAAACAGGAACCTCCTGCTACTTGGCCCACACTGGTTCAGTTTACCCTCTGGCAGCTGGAGGTTATCAAAACACGTATTTTTAGAAGAATATTGAATAAATTTCCTGCAAGCCAAAGCACCTGATACTTAATACAGAAAATAACACAAATTATAACACTTTAAAATACTGTAATATGGCTAAGCAAGTAGCAACAACAACATTCAAATGTCTTCTTTTCACCTGATGCTGAAGCATTTCTTGCTTTGTGCGCCCGTGGCTTTGGTACTGGTTTGTTTTCCTCTTGATTTCTTTTTGTCTGTACTTCATGAATAGGCAAGTAGTTACAAGGGTCACTTTCACTATTATCACATGGCACTTCTTCAGCAGCTGAACACTCTTCATTATTTTTTCTGTCATCACTCTCATTTCGACTTTCCAAACATTCTTCTTCACTATCTTTTCTGTCATCCTGTATGTTTTCACTTTCTAAAAGCATTATTTGCTGAAGCTTCTTTTCATGAAAGGATAAAGTCAAGCCATCAGCAGCTTCATTTTTTGGATCTGATTTTTGTGAAGCATCATCATCTGACAGAGGACTCTCAGCAGCAACTGACTTCTTAGTGCTTTCAGCACCTGAATTACTTTCATTAAATTCTTCCCCAATACCTGAAAATAGCACATTATCAACTTCCATTTGAGACAAGTGGAAAAAATTAGGACAGAGAAACTCTATCTTCTATAATTTAGAAGTATTTTTCATGTAACACTCTCCTGACTTAAATCTCTGAGCATTTCTCTTTCTGCACTTCTGATCTCTGCAAAGTCATGAAATTACATCCTTATTCTACTTCCTTTCCTGTCATCTGTTTCCATGGATCCAACCTAAAGGAAACAATTCAAATATTCACTGGTTAATTCTTACCTGTCATGCAATTTAAATTCCTTCTAAAAAACCATTTCCAATACCATACGAAGTAGAAGCAAGACAACAGCAAAGCTAGGCATGTTTGGTTACCAGAATTCATCCTCCCCTTCTATTCTCTTCACTTCTGTCCCATCTAAAATCTACTAAAATATACTTGAAAGATTTATCTGCTTCAATGCTAATAAGGTTCACATGTTTAACAAAAATATCTTTATCTTCCTGTAGCCTGTTATTTCTAACTGACTTTATTTCAGAGCTCAAATGCTCACGGAAGATGATAAAAGAATGTCATGGTAGTTGAGTAACATATTTAATGACAAAGGACTTCTTTTCTAAATCTTGCCAGGAAAGGAAAATTAAAGCATCCCATGAACTTGTAAACGATGTTTCAGATATGAATGAAAAACAGGACATGGAGGAAGCCCTTTAAAAAAATATATCATGATAATTAAGATTCCTATTTTCCTTGACATGCAGCATCATACCAGGAGGAAGAAGAGCTATTCAGCTCACCTCATCAGACTAAACATAAACATTACCAAATATCAAGCACATCTTGGCCCAAGAATAAGAGCCAGCTCAAACCTGTTCCTGGTTTGTTCTGCCCTGTGTCCTGCAGCCCAGTGATTATCCAGACTGGGAAAACAGTAAGATAACAACACGCGTTTCTCTCTGTCCATATCCACTTTCACTGACAGTACTGTGTGCTACTGTTTCATCCAGGTGTAAACTACATAGCTAAGCACCACAACTGCAGGAAACAGCACAGACTGTATGGACTAGGAGGCTGGCACCACCACCAACTTCTGCTCCTAACTTGGAAGAGGAGGACTAAGTGATCCAGAAGTTGTTAAAATATGAAGTCTTGGAACATTAAAACATATTGACCCACAAAAATTGTCTGTGATGTAGCACTGAGTTGAGGAAAGAAAGAACACAATGAAAAAGATTTAATTCTGTCTTACCATTTATCATGTCATCTTCGTCACTCTCAAAGTCATCTGAGTATTCAGCTGTTTGCTCTCTTGCTGCATGAGCAGAAATTGCTTCTTGGGGCTTATCCTGAAATGGTTTCACAAATAACTCTTATACAGAAGGGAAGATTCACTTCCTCAATTTCAGCACTAATTCCCCCCTCCCACACAGAACAACAGTAAAACTGAGCAACAGAGATTAACCTGTTTAACTGAACATTATGGGCTCTACCATAATTTCCCCAGTTTTTCTGTGTTTAAAAAAACCCTCCACATATAAATTTATATGTCCTCTTCATAAGAAATGTATCTTGCAGATCTCTCTGGCAATAATGAACCTGTATCATGTGACATATTCTCCCCCTTTCATATGTTTTGATTGGCAAGAGCACAACAAAAAGGTCTGTACAGTCACCCGTGGCAGAGGTGGTGAGCAGGGACTACCTCATCGCTGACTGCTGCAGTACAAGAACCTGAAGCAGGTGGCAAGCCCAAAACAATGGACCAACTTCACGTGAGTGGCCACTGATACTCTGGACTCTTTGCTGCAGGACATCACAGGCACACGTTTACATGGGCTTTGAATGCAAGTGGCCTTACTTACTGATTAAAATACATTACAAAATGCAGCAGTCTCTCCAGATTGGAAGACCTAGAGCCACAAACCACTGAAGGCTTGAGAGCAGGTTGTTTGACACGTGCCTTACCCTCTTCCCGAGGCACCTGCTGTCTGGTCCATGAGCCAGAGCCATTTTTCAGGACTATCAGGAACAGGGAGGTCAGGTTCCTCACGCCTTACAGCAACTGCTCCCCAGGTTATGCACAGGGAGCAGCTTCTAGCGCCCACGCAGAAGGTGACCTCATTCCCAGTTTTAATTTCGACAGCAAATCTGCTTTTTTGGGCGTGCAGTCTTTAACAGCAAATGACTGTATTCGCAGCCGCAGGCAAAGGCCGCCGCGCCGTTCCCCGAACCACAGCCAGGGCCCCTGCCCGCGGCCTGCCGCCGCCTCCGCTC